ACTTTTCAGAGATTTCACTGACCAGTTTTACTGCATCTTTTTAAAACTTTAAAAGAGGAGAATCTACCTGGATATGACATAAGAAGTAAGGGATACATTCATCTCCAATTTTACTATTGTTGGTTTCATACAAAGCCATTTTAAATTGTTTGTTGATACATTGGCCATAATCACTGGTCATACATATGCACATGATTTGAAACACATAATGTGTATTTGTTTTGCTCTAAATGTGCTAACATGGTCCTTTGGGTTTGCAATGAAGCTGTGGACATTGATGGAAGAACCTTTTTCCGCAAACAACCTTCAGCGATTCCAGAACCGAAGCACAAAATATGTCCATTTCTACAAAGACCTACTGATACTATGGAGTTAGTACTGTGTCAAAAGTATTTATATAATTTAAGTGCTGTAACTTGCAAGTTCTTTCTGTGAAATGCAGTTTCTTTTTTGTGCTTCATCAAGTGATGAGTCTTCATTCACATTTCCTCATTGACAACCTGTAACTTGTACCTAGTTACCTGTAAGAAAACATGATCGTGCATGGAAAAAGTATGTCATTTTCAAAAATATCATTTTTATTTTTCCTTATTTAAAACACATTTCTTTTTTTATAATTTTTTTAAATACAAATTATTTTATAAAACATTTTTTGAAGTGATTTTTTGATTGACTCTGCAGTCAATACTGTTACTTAAAAGGCTGCAGTTGACACAAGCACTGAAATAAGGAAAGCCTCAATTTTCTGTAATTAAGCAAATTAATTCTATTGTTTCTGTAATGTGCTTGGGAACGTAAGATAATTACAACCATTAAACATGCTTGTCTCTGAAAACAGAATATGTGTACCGACAGATAATCATTTGATTAAAACTCAAAGCTTGGATCGTCTTAATTACTGGATACAGCTATGCTTTATTTTAGTTTTGGAGAGTCAGGAATCACTTTATTTACTTTCAGTTCCAGCCCAGGAATTTTATCTAAGGTCTAGACTATCCAAGCCAGGTGCACAATAAGAAATCTGTCTGGCTCATAAAATCAGGTAGATTTTTTTCCCTGATCAGCAGAAAAGCAAGACAGAGAACATTTGCTTGCAAGCACATTTTAAAATACTTCATAACTCATACAAAAAATATGTATTTACTAATGTAATAAAGGGTCCTGATGTCTGAATAAAGAGAAAGACAAAAGGCTTTATTAACAAAGCATAAGATCAGCTTATAAGCTGAAGCGAATGTGCGTGCAGGCTGTACTGATAGCTCAAAGTCATGATTTTTCACTGGATTTCATGTGCCTTGCAGGGAAACTCATTGTTCCCTGGGGCTCTAATAGGCTTTGAGGTAATCCACGTTCTGAACACCTTGAGCTCACACACAGGGGCATATACAAAAAACGGGGACACACGCACACACGCCGACCTGCTCATGTAAGTCAGTGTGTGTTATCATTTCCCCCCCGATACGCAGCCCACAGAGCACCATGAGTCAGCAAAAGACACACTGATGCTTTCACAAGGCAAGTATGTGCTGCAGACATGGTTGTAGAACACAAAGATTCAAACAGAGGAATAGTGCCTGGAGGTTACTGACTCCAGGGGTAGCAGAGAAGAAGCCAGAACCCCGGAGCTACTGCACTCTGTTGTCAAGGCCCAGGTGAGGAAGCTCTCTCTGCATACAGTATATAATGGTGTGAAGAAGCTCTTTTATCTCAACCTTTTGCTGTATTAGTGTAAGACAAGGTCCGTCCATCCATCCACCAACTTATCTTGGTCAGATGCAGGAGAATTCTTAATTTTCTTTTTTTTTTCTTAATACATTCATTCTTTAAATAAGTGTTTCTCAACAGACAGTCCACATTTTTGGTCCCTCCCAGCTCCCAACACGCCGGTACCAGGTGTTCAGTGCTCTTGATTGCTTACTTCATTCTTGATTGTTTGGTTCAGACGACGGGAGCTGGGAGTGAGCAGAAACGTGGACATTCTGACGCTCCCTGGGGATTTGGCTGAGAAACACTTTCAAATTTTCACTTTTAAGAATGAATTCAAATTCCTTTTAGTTTTTCATACTTATATGTACTTATAATGTGGAAGTTTTGGGGAATGGTTAAGTTTAGGATGCAAAAACAATGAATGGAAGGTATAGAGCCATATTTTAAACATTTTGATTCAAGAAAGTATTTTGGCAGCTCACACTCGGACTTGAAGCTCAGCTATCAGTAGGGCTATTTGCATTAAGAATGCATAAACACAGAAGTGCCGGCAGAGCGCGGCCTTTCCAGGTGGCGGCGCCGAGGGCTGTGGCTGGCGGCTTGTCAAGCAGGCCAGCTGCAGCGCCTTTCAAGCCCTCCACCCACAGTTATAAGGGTGAGGCCGAGGAGAGGTAGGAGAGAGAGGCAAAAGATTGTGGGCTCTGGCTATTTCTGTTTCTGAACCCAGATTCCCGTCGACATTGGCTGCCCACACACAAGGACTGCTGCCTCGGACTGCCTCGCACTGCCTCGCCTCGGCCCAACCTGAAACCCTGAGGCCCTGAAGTGACCTCTCAATGGGATCTTGCTCGCATTTGGCCTTTTCCCTCTATTTGTTTTCATTTGTCTTTCTTAATGACATTACCCACCTGGGCATATTTTCTCCGACCAGTCCTTCATCCCCTCCAAGGAACTTGTTATGATTGTTTTACATTTTATTTATCATCTGCTTATATCCAAGGTGACATGGATTTTTTTTTTAAGAAGGCAGGGTCAGACAGTCCCTTTGAACCACCCCAAGCTGCTGAGCTTCATACCACCCCACAAAAACAATAATTAAATGTAGTATTGTATTTTATAGAAATCAATTCTTCATTATGACAAATAGCATGCTATATTTATGACTGAGTATTGATTAAAATATACATTGTGATATTTTATTTGTTTTCTGGTGTGTTGGCGCCCCGTCCTGGGTTATTCCCTGCCATGCACCCATAGCTTCCAGGATAGGCTCCTGATCCCCCCCAACCCTGCATAGTACAAGCTGATATAGAAGATGGATGGATGGATGGATATTTTTCATGTTACCAAAATTTATAATTTTTTTATTTTAACATAAAAATGATATTTTAAATTATGTTGCTTGGGTCAGATTAGGGTACATATTTCCTTTTGTCAGGCCAGTAATTTCAGGTCAAATTAAACAGCCTTTGAGCAGAGTTCTTATCCAGCCCACATGTACAATTTAAGCCAAAGAATATTTTAATTATGAAGACATTGTTTCATGATCCCTTGTAAGACACAATATGTAGACGAAAAAAAGAGCAGACGGAAAGCAGCTGGGTGAGCAGAAAATTGCTGACAGAGCCGGGGGGTAGTCCTCAGAAGGACATGTCACCATATTTCACGTGTCACTGTCCAGAAGGTCACTGGTTCAAATCCCGTGGCTGCTGCAGGGGAGCTGACCAGGTTTCACTCTCACCTATGTGTGTCATAGCAGACCTGGATGGAATGCAATGATTGGATCCTGTTGTTATTACTAACAGACTACAACTATAAAAGCATTCTATAAAATATGTAAAACACACATGAAATATATGATGGCCAGTACAAGATTTAATTCGTTAAAGTGGAATGGAATAAAGGTGCAGAATATCTAAAGTAAACATACAGAGGGAGCATAAGAAGCAACATCTATGAATATCTAATATTAAATCATGTGGATTTATGGTACAGTACAAGAAAAATCGGTAAGGAAGGATTGAAAAGCCTCTCTTTAAATTTAGTAAATCAGGTAGCAGCAGGAAATATATAACATACATATAATAACATTTTGTGAATGATTGTGCAGTGATATACATCTAAAAACCTGGCTTCATTGTTAAACAAAAATGGCATTTGGATTTAAGTTTCTGCTGAAATCCTGATAGAATCTGGTGAATATAATAAACGCAGGTAAACTAGCAGACACCGGAAACCACTATAATATTTTGGAAGTACTATCAACCAAAGCCAGTAATAAATAGATCAAATGATATGGAATTCCACAATGACCAGCAGGTTTAGACAAGGTTAATAGGAAGAACACACAATCTGCAATATTCCTCTGAATATGACAAAGCAGAGCAATACCTAATCAGATCAAAACAAAAGAATTAAACTTGGGTACGGATTTTAAAAGGATTTGATGGAAAGCAGAAATGGTCAGTACTGACATCAGCGATTTGCGTTCATCTTTAAAAAATCTTTGAGATCAAAACACACCCTTTGCTATTGTAATTACGTAGGATTAGTCAGGTAGATCAGAAGTAACAATACAGTAACAGAACCATGGTGAAGAATCAATGAAATGCCCCAGCATACAGTATATTACGGGTTTTAAGATACTATACAGCACATTCCAAACAAAAACAAATTGTACTGTCACTGTAAATAAACATTAAACAGCTTGGAAAGAAGTATAGATTCCACACAAGTATTGATTGTTCCCATATGTCTAAAATGAGCTCTTAAGGAGCATGGAAGGTACAAGCCAATGTAATGATTCTGATAAGCATTTTGTCAATTTTTCAGATCATGAGGAGACTGGCTATACTTGGGAAAACACTGACAGCAGAGACGTATGACCTGTATATCAAGATGCATTTTTTAACATTTTTTGAGAATGTTATGAAGAACATCAAAACAGGGCCTTTTCCATCTGTGGTGCCAGAAAATGTTGGAGACCAGCTACCCAAAGAAGCCTGCAGCAATGAGCAGATGCTGCAGGATGCTGTAAATCCCAGTGTCACAGAGATCTCCTCAAACATCACTGAACATTGTGAGAAGCAACTGGCAGAGAATGGGAAATAGGTTTAAGACAGCACACATGGCTTAGGAATACAAGCTGTTTGCTCTGATTAGGGTAAAACAGACTGTGAAGTGCCACAGGGCTCTCTCTCTCTCTCTCTCTCTCTCTCTCTCTCTCTCT